CTTATTAAACGTATGAAAGAATAAGCTAACTAAAGTAAATACTAGAAATAAATACTATAAGAAAAAATATAAAATCTTTTAGGCATCTACTCGCCGTCTTCCTGACCAACGGGCTCGGGAACCAAGTCCTCCTGATATGAAATGGTTAAGTAAGAAATGAGGTACACTAGCCCAGTAAAGATGTCACACTATCTCACTGTCACATAAGTAAAGGTTGGTAGAAATAAAAAACGACCAATGGAGCATAATTTATAACAATTTCATTTATTAATAATAAAACCATTTTACTGTCCACTTACATCGGTGAGATTCATGAAAACAACTTATGAAAACAATAACATTATAATATCATGAAATCATACGCACCCTGTAATATAATACATGTCATACTTTTAATATGTTAATCATCAGGCAACAAATTTCCTCTTTTACCAGCCTACTAGTACCTATGGGGATCCATAGGGGTTCCCACCACACGTGAACCATTTATGTTAAAAACTTAATTAGGGCTGTCCCCATATCCCGTTCGGTACGGGCGCCTAAATAATGAACCTCAATACCCCGTCCGGTATGAGGGTGAAGCGAATCGTCCCCATACCCCGTCCGGTATGAGGGTGAAGCGAATCGTCCCCATACCCCGTCCGGTATGAGCGCCAAAACATTTAAAGTCTCCATACCCCGTCCGGTATGAGAGACAATGTTCCCGGTAGGGTTCCCTATGAACCCGGTCCATTCACCATCTCCTATGATGTCTAGTGAGGCTGTTAACCTATCCATTTATCAACTCAATCCCATTCCTATTTGTTCTTGGTCTCAATTACCTAATCAAATATGAATACGTAAACTAGTAACGAATACCAAACAAGGCAAACATAACATCGGGTTCACAATAATCAAACCTTAATAAATTGAACAGTGAATCATGCATACGAAGCCACAGAATGAACAAATCAGATACTACACTGCATTTAGACTGTAAAATATATCAAATAGGAACTGACCGAAAAATATATAAGATTCGGGCTCCATTAGCAACCTTAATTAATTATACATATCCATGAATTCATAAAATACCGTTTTATCATTTATTAGACTTGAATACCGTGATAGGAAATAGGGTGAGAGATCCTTACTTGATTCGAAGTCTAAGACCGATTTTTTACTGCGCCTACGGGCAGTCCCTAGATTCCCTGAATTTTTTTTCGAGAATTGAAACACATTTTTGGTACCTGCACATGTCTCAAAAAACTCCAAATCAGACCCAGGGCCTCCTCGGCCAATTTCGAAATTCCGGCACGGTAGCTTCGCAATGCTCCGGTGATGGCACCGCCGCCCATGGCAGCGATCTGCCTCGGGTTGGCTATTTTCGGCCGTTTCAGGCCGAATTTAGCCAAACTAGCACCAGTTCCTATGAGAACACACACGCAAGGCCCTCGGTGGGCTTAAAAAACTCAAAAAATTGAGACTTACCGGCAGCAGAGCTCTCGGGTACGGCGGCTCCTCTGGTGCGAGTCGCGATTCGGTGTTTTGTTTCGGTCAACCTGTAGAGGAAAAGACGGTGGTCACAGTGGCATAAAAATTACATCGAACGGGAATCGGGAAGGGCCTCATCGGAGGCAAAAGCTGAGAAAATTCGCAGCAGTGCTGCTGGGCTTTGGCGGTATTTTTCGGCCAATTGGCCGGTGGTTTGGCTCCAATTTGGCGACATGGGGGTTCAGCATCGAAATCCGAGCTAAGGGGAGAAATTTTACCTCGTTTGGCGACCGAAAAGTGCTCTGGTGCGGCGGCGGGTGGCGGCGGTCGGTTCCTCCGGTGGCTGGGCTGTCTTCTCCGACGAGGGCTCTGGTGGCTAGGGTTTGGGGTTGGGTGTGGATGAGATTATTTATAACATTCTCCTTTTAATCTGAGCCGTCCATTACGATTTAATCTGAGCCATCCGATCGCGATTAAATTGAAAATGAATCTAGACCGTCCATCGCGATGTGATCTGGGCCGTCCGTGAGTGATTCAATCTGGACCGTCCGCACGTGTTCAATCTGGACCGTCTGTGCGCGCGTTTGATCTGGGCCGTCCGTGCGTACGTGAACGGATCTCAGTCGTCCGATCGCGCGCACGCGGATCGCTCAAATGGTCCGTTCCGCGTGGCCTTCTCGCATCAGCGTCTCTGTCATGCGGTGTGTCCTGGTTGGCCGGAACTGCTGGCCGGGCTGCTAACGTGACACAATTTTTTTAAATTACATTTTGACCCCCAGTTTCCGATTTTCTTTTCAAAAACACTCACAGAATCTGAATTTTCACCTCTTTTTTCCAAAATTATTTTCAATTAAACCCCAAAAATAATTTCACCCATTTTTATCATTATTATTATTTTTATTTCCCATTAAAATAATTATATTATTACTTAAATAAATAAATAAAAGAAAAATTAAAATAAAATAAAATTATAATAATTCCAATAATAATAATATATTAGGGTGTTAAAGAGATTGCAGGATTTATGAAAAAAAGCATCATAACATTCTTTAATATGGATTTACGAGAAAAATTATCATAAAATTAAGTTTTAAACTAAATTTCTTAGATAAAAAAGAGTTCCTTCGTTTTTATTTAATAGTCACAAAATACTCATGCCAACTATAATTAACTCTTCAATTTAGTCAAATATGGATAGAGGAATTACGAGATTCACAAAAAAAAATTATCATAACTTTTATTAGTATGGATTCATGATAAAAATCATCATAACTTTACTTAAAATTAAGTTTTAAACCAAAATTTTTAAACAGAAAAGAATCTTTTTATTTTTGTTTAGCAGCCACAAAATACTCAAGCCAACTAACATAACGTTTTAAATTGAATTTCAAAACTAACATAGTATTTTTAAAATAATTTTTAATTATATAAATTAAGATATAAGATTTACGATAAAAATTATCATAATGTGAATTCACAAGAAAAATTATCATAATGTTTACGCAAAAAAAATTAAATTCTAAAACTGACGGAATTTTAAAATAATTTTTAGTGATATAATTTTAACATAAAAAAATTATTATAACTTTTATTAATATGAGTTTATGAAAAAAATTATCATAACTCTCGTTTGAAGAAATTAAATTTCAAAACTGATATAGTATTTTAAAAATAATTTTTAGTAATATAATTTGAACATAAATCAGATAAAACTAATTTTTTTATTTAAAAAATCATGTTTAATTAAAAAAAAAAAAAAAAAAGAGTTGACAAAAAAGTATTATCTGTCTTCTGTGATTAAAAATAAGGAATGCAGGAAAATTAAAATATAAAAAAAGGAAATTTATCATAACTACGTTATTTAATACCCACAAATTTATCCAAATCTTGCTCTGAAGCTCTCTCTCTCTCTCTCGTTGTCGAAAGTGACCGGTTCCCATTCTACAGCAATCAATTTCCTCTCTCCCTCGTTAACCCACGCACTTCTTCCAATCTCTGAAGAGTGTGTTTCTCTGTAGGATATTAGAGAGAGAAAATCAAAGAGCGGGTTTGTTGTTGGTGGTTGCGGTTATTTCTCGAAGCAATTCGGATTTTGAACAACCCGTCTCTTCATTTTCTCTCTCTTGATTGTCCAATCACTCGACATTTCTTTCTTCTTCTTCTTCTTCTTCTTCTTCTTTTCCCCAACTTTGTTTTCTTCTTCCTCGTGCCCACTTCTCCAACACTGTCGCTTTCTGCTGCGTGATTGGCTGAGGATTTTTGGTGCCTTCTTTCCTGCTCAGTTTTGATTTGATCTGATAGGAATTTGCAACTTCAATTTCTTTGTCGAAGATTCGGACTCTCTTCGGTTCCGGTGGCTATCTTGTTATTTGGTGATGAATAATCGTGGCCTGGTGGTGCCTTTTTAGGTTTCTTCCTTTTTGGGTATTTAGGACTTCGCCTCTGTAGAAAAGGGGCTTTGTGCGAAGGAGAATTGGATATAATTGTTTTATGCAATAGATTGTTCTGCGTAGATCTGCTTTCTTTTTGCTCTGCGTACATCCCCTTTTAGCTTTTATTTTTAATTATTTATTTACATTAAAAAAAAAAAAAAAAAAAAGAGACTAAAGATTGTTATCATCTGGAATAGCCAAAAGGGTCAGCAAAAAAACTGTCACCTTTTTCTTTCTTGGTTGGTTTGGAAGCTGTAGAAATCGAAATCTGATTCTTCTTCTGGTGGATTCTGTTTGCTTTGTGAGGAACTTTACAGGGGAATTGTTTTCATCAATCTGATAAAGTAGGCTTTGAGTTCAAAAGGGTAGGATTAAGAGCTGGAGGCAAATTAAGCTATTGATCCGAAAATTAGGTGCATATATTTGTGGATTGAAGAAGAAATTCGGCGGATTCTGGCAACTGTAATAATTGGGGATTTGTGGGTATCCACTAGATCATTTCTGACGGATCCATCACCGGAAAGCCGTGGGTGTGACTGTGTGGCTGGTCTGGAGTGCCTGTTAAACATTATCAGGGCCCTCAGAATGGGGTCCTGCTTATCTGCAGAAAGCAGGAGCCCTCTCCCTGGTTCGCCAGCCTCTCCTGGCCTTGGGGTCAGGAAGAGGAAGAATTCCAAAAGAAGACAGGGGTCACGTAATTCTTCTTTTGATTACAGGAGAGAAGAGCCGTTGCATAGAATCCCTGGGAGGATGTTCTTGAATGGGTCTAGTGATGTTGCTTCTCTCTTTACTCAGCAAGGAAAGAAGGGAACCAATCAGGATGCCATGATTGTCTGGGAGGTTAGTTTCTTTCTCGTTTTTGTTTTACTTTTCATTTTGGTCACGATTCTATTAAAGTCATTTATGTTTGTATTTGTTTCTTCTATTCCTCAAGCATCTACGCAAATAAGCAACTTTTATAGGCTAACATATCTGCGGAAACAAGCAACTTTTATGCAGTGGCAATTTTATTAAACTATAGAATAAGATCCCTTTCGAGTCATCCCCTTATTTACTTTGTTGAGGTGTGTACTCATTTATGATTGATCGAAACTTGAACTCACAGCACTTGACTCACTCTCAAAGGGGGAAAGGGGAGTGACCATTGGGACTCACCTTTAATTTTCTGCTGTTTCTCTTGTGACATTGCATGAGGCACTAGTCAACGTGTTCTCTAGTGTTTGAAAACTAGAAGGCTTCAAATTTCGATCTCAATCTCCTCAGTTTGTTCTAGGTGGTCAACTGGTCACTTAAGAGGAGGAATTTATGAGTGCGGAATCCCCATTAACAAGCAGAGGGAAAAATTATGTATATCCTGTCCCTCTTTCTATTCTGTGTCTCTTGGAAGGAAGAGGACTGTAGAGCTTTTGAAAATATTTCCTCTTCGTTTGTTTTTACCATGGATGATTGGATTAGGACCTTGTGTATTTTGTTCAAATCTTTTCTGGATGAGGTGTACATTGTAGGTCTTTTTTATCTCTAACCTCTAAGTGTAATGTCTTCTCCAGTGAATGAGCAGCACCCTTGTGTTGTCTTTTAAATATTAATCCCTTATCATTTTCCTCCAATAAAACATAAATAGTTGCCTGCAGTTCCTTGACTTTCTTCTGTGATAGTCGTCTATTAACAAGTTGAACCATCTTGCTTGGTGGCAGTTCATTTATTTATGTTTCCGATGATATTTGTTATTGTGACTATTTTTCAAAAAGAAATGAGATGCTTCTCACCTTTGTTCTCATATCCTACGAAACAAGCTTTGTACTTTTATTCTCATATCCTATTAAATAAGATCAATTGCTTCTTGCTGTAAATTAATCATAATATTTTCAATTCCCTTTGCCTGTTATCTCGTTGGATAAGAATGCCTTATGATATGTGTTAGAGTATGCTTGTATTCTTGTCATAAAACCATAAACATTAGTTCTGGAAGTTGGAGAGCAAGTCACGTTTGCCTTCCATATAGGCAGAGATGTGCTTGCTGCAATACTAAGGCTAAGATCTCCCTGGGATATACTGATTTTCTTCTTCCCATTCATACACGTTCTCTTGATTGTGAGAAGATGATGAACATGATATGAATTTAAACTTTCAAATCGAACCTGCTATCTGTTCATGGTCACTGATCCGCACATCTAGATATTTTGGTCCGCTCATGCTCTTTCCTTTTTACTTATTACAAAACTATCTATTTTCTGTCAGCTTCTAATTGCTTTGTTGCTTTAAACGGTTTTTGCTCACTTTATATAAGTTTGGTCTTTCAGAATTCTGGTTCAAGGACAGATACAATCTTCTGTGGTGTTTTTGATGGCCATGGGCCCTACGGTCATATGGTGGCAAAAAGAGTGAGGGACCTGCTTCCCCTTAAATTGACTGCTCAATGGCAAGTGAATTTAACTGGTGATGATGTTCTCAGAGAGATCAGCATTAACACCGCAACAAGCATTAACTCCGAAGATACTCCTTTTGTATCTGCTGAT